CTGTGCTAAGTTTTAGGAATTGTACACGAATCCCTTGTCAACGAAGCCTCTGTTGTGAAAGAATTTTCTGACGTGACTACATTAGTGGTTGCTCCAGGGACTGGCGCAGCCTGTTACAGTGTCCGATAGTTAAGTACATTCTAGAAAATATTCCGCTTGAGAGGGGATCTAACAAGAATTCGGTTGTATGATTACTTGACCTAAAGACTGGTAGAGAACTGTGAATAATCAACGACCTTTGAGAGTATCGGATACCCGTAGCATTTGCAAGGGTGCGTGCGCTGATCTTAACTACGGCAGAGTAGTTTTTTAATTATACTCTTTTATTTAAAATGGCCATCAGCTCGATGCACAACCGTGGATCGCAATTGATCACTTGTTAGTGACATGAAAATACTAATTCATCCAGTAGATTAGCGGCTTGTCTAATCACACTGGTTAAGAACATCGCCACCTTGTATGTTATTCCCGAGGAGTAAAACAGTCCGCTGCCTTCCTGAGGGTGAGTTTCAAATGGTACCGTTTTGATGGTAAACAACAATTGTAAAACAGTCTACTTGTTACCTAGCTTCCTCAACAGTAAAATATATACATGTGGAAAGCCGCGTGGTGACGCCTTATTAAGAATATCAGGTTTTGGCATTAAGTTGTCTTCAGTTACATCAACACGCGACGTGATTCTTGAAGTTCAGTTGAAACTTCGTCATAGCGATGAGTCACAATTCCTGTCGAAACATCTTCATATGAGGACAATTTGACTCCTTGCACTTGTTAAGCATATTTTGGTTACTTTAATGAAGATGAGCGAGGGTTTGATGTCTAGCATGGCATATTATTTCATAGGGTGTCTCCCTGCTTTAGTTGCATATCACGTCGTTCTTCAACTAGGTACCTCAGAATAATTACATTTTAGCATTTTACAATGTTATTGGAATCAACCCAAAAAACCTTGCTATCCAGCTGAATCCCTGTGATGTTCTTCCTCAGTGAACGAGCTAGAAGAGGCCGCCTCATATTTCAGTTTATTATACACAGCACACTAGTCATAAGGCTATCGGAGAGTTTTCAGCAACCTCGTGAGTAGCGTAATACGTCTATACATTTGCTAATAAGAGTGGCAGATGAATATGTAAGGTTCTACTTTTAGGCACCACCTAGCGAAAATCTTGCATCGTATTTGATCGGTACAACCGTGGTTACTTGTTTTAAGGCAAGAGCTACTCTGGCCAAAATTAGGCACCATTAATTTAAATGGGCACAGTGTATGAGCACGTTGGAGAATGATATTCACATGCCTGTCCACAACTCAATATTTCACTTTATTTTTATCCATGAGTGCAACTTTCTTTGTCTCTTCTGATATACTCAGTACAAAATATATGATAAAACACTCAAGCACGACCAGTTTCCGGTTCACTGGCTCGTGTTTCACGAGCAAACAAGGGTCTCCGAATTTGGTCAGGAAACCACTTCCTAGGAATTCTATTCGTGCTGGTGTGACAATAATGAGTCTCTTGGAATGAATACGAAAACATGGCCCGTTTCCTCTGGTACGTGTATGAACGTTGTTTTTTCTGAATATGAGTAGACGTTATGGAGTTATACACCTAATTGCGGACTAAACTGATGTCACTAGTGGCTGAACTGATTGTTGGGCGACCCTTAGGTCTATGATATCATACACTGTTCATTTCAATGACTATCGGGGAGTTCTTGACAACCTTACCAGTGATTTTGAGTGGAGAAAATGTTCTGCAATTTCTCGAAAATCATACAAACTGAAACATGGGGTGGCCTTGTGCAGCACGTTCATTTTAAGAGTATCTCAAGGGAGAGATTCAGCTGGTCTCCAGCCGCAGTGTATTTCGCGAATGGGCTGCAATTTGGTTCCACATAGACTGGTTCCACATAGACTGATGGGGAACTCGGAGACCGTGTCTGCTTGGTGAGCCCAAAAACGGTGAAACCGATCGTTGTTCCTCGAACCGTTTTCGACAACCTTGAACAAACGTAGATTCGTCAACATTTCTCCTGGAAAGATGCATGCAATCCGGCAGCCGCTTAAGCTGTGATACTGTCAGTGATTTCTCAGTGCACACCAAAATACTTGTCTGGTATTCGGTGAACATGGGATGGGGAAACTGGTTTTCTTATGTAAAAGTATTACTTTTTTGAAGCCGCACCTTGGTAAACATTCCACCTACTTAAAGTTTTTTCCACCGTCTGATCTGGCTTAATCTTACACATGTAAAAGGGCACTTTCACATGGGGCAGTCATTTGTATTAATTTAATGTAGCAGTTAGCAAGGCTTCGCTACCACTGACAGGAAACTCAGCTGCAACTCATCTGAAGCTCTCGTTTATACCGGTAGATAAGTGAATGTTCTAAGCAGACACCGCCTCAGTTTCAGCTGGAAAGAGATTCACTACATCAAATTGCGTATTATTACTAATAAGAAAGAAATCCGGCAGGATCACTAGATGGTGTTCAGGCATGGCATAAGAACAGTGAGGACTCGGGAAATCCGACGAACAAGGATCAAACTGGTAGTTGGTTGTTCGGAGTTTCCGCCAATTTTTTGAGTGGTTTTGAGTAAAGCATCGCTATTTTTCAACAGATTTTGATTATATCCTCAATGCTGACGAATTTGGAAAAAACTTGTATGTGGTTCCTTATGAATCTATCATCGGCCTGTAAGCGTTCACAGTGAGAGAACAGGAGTGTCTAACCAAAGCATAGGATGAGGAAATGAATAACGTTCTATCAAGCCATGGTGTAAATTTTACAAACGAACCGGATTGAAAACGTCTACAACTGGTGCTGTGCACGTTGGTGCGCTTTTAAATATACTACCCGCCCACCACTGGAGAAGCAAGCGAGCACTAACCAGACGAGATCTGCTACACAGCGTGAATTTTGTAAACAGAGGGTCGCGTGGACTAGCAGTGCATTTTGGATAAGGGTTGTACGGGCCGGCCAGTCACACATTTCGTTCAGTGAACATAAGCGGGCCGGCAGAGAGACTTCGTCCAGTCACACATTTCGTTCAGTGAACATAAACACGGCTATCTCTTTTTCTCGAGGTCGTAGATTGTGTGTTCCTTCCGAATCAGGCTGCTGCCGATGTGGACAACATGAAACTATATCTTCTTGATATAATGCGTCATTCATCGGGTTCCTGAAAGCCAAATTTAGCTATCCGAACACGAAGCCTTGAGCCTTTTCTAAAACTGGCCGTGCAACTATAATTTCACTTTGAGTGACCGATTGATGAGACGTAGCATCAAGTCTTGGAAAAGTGGTTTCCCCATTTTACAAGATTTTACACAGCGTACGCCATCAAGGAGAGTGAAATTAGGTGAAACAAATGGAAGTGTGAATAGATGGGTGTGAAGGATGAGCCTAAACTGACTTGAACCTGGGAAATCATTCAGGATTTCGCAATATCTGCGGAATCAAAAAATAATCATGTGGTCACAGAAACAACGATTTCGACATAACAAGGCACAAAACTGACTTGCACCAATGCATACATGGTCTACAGAAATAGGCTTGTTTGTAGTATTGAGTTTTAGGAGACTTCAGTTGAGATTTCGTGCTGTAATTGAAGCCAAACTATGCCGAATATTCGAGGTTGTACGCCTGTTTCATCCCTATTGGGAATCCTCAGGAACGCGTATCCCACAAAGTCTCGCAGGAAGTCTCGCATCCGTGACACTCAGGGTAGTAGTTTGTACACCTAAATGCTCGTCCTAGAGCGGCCAATCAGCCCTGTAGCCAACACAGAGTTAGACAGAGTATAGCGTCACTAATCCTACCAATAGGAAATCCACATCCAGTGGTCGTATGTTGACTGCATTTTCGTGGAAGTTCACCTGTTTTTTTAATCATTCTACTTCGTGAGCAACTTATAGTTTACTGATAGTGTGAGGAAGCCAGAAGCTCGAGACCACTCGGATAATTCAGAATACGGTTGAAGCACTTGGACGTCACTTATTGACTTTCCAAGGAAGCCTGGCTCCACTTACATGACGAAATTTCCAATGATTATTTTCCACTTTTGCAATGCAGGTTGTTTGTTTTTCTAGATATTTTTCCAATTCAGTTTCATCACTTTTCAGGCACAATTCATTAATTTGGCCTCTACATTCTTGATTTTCTTTTTGTTACGGGCTGGTGAGGTAGCATATGAAGTAGCTTTTTGTCTGCTATTGCACACATCTTTGTCCTATCTTTCGTAATTTGCCCCAGCTTTTGACAATATACCACGATTATAAAGGTGTAGTTTTTTTTTACGAAATACTGTGTTACAGCTGAACTACTGCAGTCAGTAAGGCAGAAATCCCTACTTACATTACGCTTCCTAGGTTCATTATCTGCGAGGAAGCATTTATTGTAAATCCACATCAGCGATCCAAACCTTACAGTGTCCACATGTGTGCCCTTTTTAAAACTGTATTTCATTTGTGAAATTGGATCTTTTAAAGACATTTTAATATTCCAATGCTTTGATAACCTTATATTCCTGTACAATTGTGAGCAATAAAAGTCCACGCAGAATGAAGTCGTAAGTGAAGGAGACTTGAAAGTTAGAGCTCCCGAGTATCAAACTCGTGAAAAACCGGCCCATATTTGGCGCATTCGTTACCAGGTAGTCTATTTCAACTTACATTGACCCAATGTGTTGTTGGACTGGCAGCTCACAACGGTCATTTATACCGACTAAGATTTTTGAGCACTCTGGCAGTATCATAGCCCCCGTACAACCATAACATTCAGATTCGGAAAGAAAAACACAAGTTTGGTGATATGCTTAAACTCTCAAAGGGTTTCCAATAACTTTCTTAGGAAAAGTACGAATCGTCTTTGTCCGTCGTTAAGTTGTATGGGCACAGTGCAGTGTCTGTTGGTCATCCATGTCTAAAACATCGCAAGCCTCCATTCGATCTCATTAAATTGTTAATAAGCATAATTTGTAGATATAGCGTCATCGACTTACCGGTGTGCGTTCTGATGTGGACATACATGTTGCTATAATGCCGCGTAGTGTAGTTACACAATTTGCACTTGAGAACTGATTCCCCAGTTCCAGTAGCGTGGGTCTTTTGCAAATGACGCAAAAGGTTCTTCTCAAAACGGAAGCACTTTCGACATATGGGGCAGACCATATTTTGGTCCATTGCAAAAGCGCTGAAATTCAATGGAGGCGAGTAGCGGCCAACGTAGCTATTGGTTGGAGTCAGTTGGTTAACATTTGCTGCTTTTGAAGGCACATCGGTTATTACCTTTCCGTCCTTTAACCCTTCATTCCAAACGTCTGTATTTGGATTCCAAGAAACTACAGGGCATTTGTTCGAGAAGAATGCGTTCTCCGTCTGAAAGCTTAAGTTCGAAGTGGTTGCTTTGCGCAAACTGTCCATGAGCTCTGAGTTTCTTCGATCGAAAGACTGACTGGCAGGGTACGAGTGCTGCAGTGAGGTAAATTTGTTTACAGCATAATCGGCTCCCTTGTCACTGAGTTCATCAAAACTCTCGGTTGCTCTGGCGTTTAAGTTGGTCGATCCAATGGGAGTCCAATGCCAGTCCCTCGACCCCTGTTCAAGGTCCATGCTGATTTCATCGCCGCGTTGCTGCACGTTGTATCCTTGAAACCGACTCTCTGAGGCTAAGTTCAAGAAGTGGTTCAAAAGTTCTGAACTTTCTGACTTTGTCCGCAAATCCAGTGCATCCTCACTAGATGGAAAGTTACCAAAATTATTTTTTCGACATTGTTGCAAAATGACCGAGGTAATGATTCCGATGAGGGACATTTTGGTAAGATTCTGATTGCACTGGGGAGAAACTCTATCCCACAAGGAGAGATATGGATCTGTTTGTGCAACAGGGTTGGACATTGATTCATTGGGATACACGACAGGGTCCGAAAAATCCTGAGTTCGGTAGCACACAGATGTTTGAGGGATGGACAGAAACGGATTATCTGAATGCATTGCAGATTACGGACGATGCGGGAAAATGTCAAACACTCCCTTACAAAGGAAGTTTGTCAGAGCTTTGAGCTAGAACAGCAAAGAGACATCATTTATTGCCAAAGAACCAATGTGGAGAATGTGATAGTGACATAATTACGGATTAGTATGGCACCGGAGTTGCACTTTCGCTCTCTGGAGAAGGAGAATTTCGTTGCAAAAGAACAATTCTGCATACAGTTTGTCCAAAATCTCGTTGCACCAAACTGATTAAATTCGATTAGTTGGACAATGAATTATGTACATACAAGTATGACCAATCCATTTAGTGCAAAGAAAGCTATGACTCCAGCTCAACCTGACAGTCACAGAAACAAGATTCCAACGATCAGAGTTCGGAGTAAGTGTCACCCAGAGAAAATTCGATGGACATTATTCAATCGATTCCCAGCGGTACCCAGTTGATGAACTTTGCACTGAATGGTAAGTGTTGGGTCACGTGAACTCAAATGAGTTTAGAAAAGTTGGTACGGTCGATGAGAACGTTTCGATAATTGACTACTGGTTCCGGGATATATACATACGGTCGGTGAGATACGGTCGGTGACTACTGGTTCCGGGATATATACCAGGCAGGCGAATCCGTCAAATCAATGCATCAGTCTTTTTTCCTACCTGAACTGCAATCTGTATGGAGGCGGAAGTATACCATCATATGAAAACTCCATTGCTGCTGGCGGCGACTATATTGGGTATTATCAGAATTCCTTGTTTCTAAGGCTGTCTAAACGAATGTGCTACACAAAGGCCATGCTTGTTTTAGTTAGTACGATATTCACGATGTCGAAATACCTCTTATATAACAACATTACTGGTCTGGCGGAATGATTCCTCCCAAACACCGATTTCGTCCTTCATGGTTTGTTTTTTACTGGTCAGGCTGAGCTTGTTATTTTGTGCTAATTAGTACAAAGAATGCCATTTTTCCGAAGCAAACTCCGGAGGTATCCGGTTCCTTACGCAGGATACTGACTGGGCAGGTCTGTTGGTTTCTCCCGGAGAAAAAGTGCCCACAACTTTTGCACATATGTTAGGCACTGCCATATTTGGTGACCATCCAACCTCCAGCCTATACCCGTATGCCTGTCTGAATATATATCAGCTTCTTCATGTATGCTGACATGTCACATAAGTTCTGTATGTACCGTAAAAGACATACAACAGAGGACGTGCCAAAATATTGTAAGATAAGGACCCTTATTGTCCAAGTTCTTGAAATAGTTTACACTGGCCTTTAAATGGCTGCATGAATTATTCGACATTTAACGGCTTCCAAGACTGTTGGTTAACTGAACGTTCTTCTCAACGAATGCAAATAAAAAGCACTGGCCTTTGGCTGCATGAATTATTCGACATTTAACGGCTTCCAAGACTGTTGGTTAACTGAACGTTCTTCTCAACGAATGCAAATAAATAAAATGTTTGAAGGTATTGATTCAGTTTTCTCATTTCTGGAGGAAGTGTTTAGCATGACACGCTACCCCTAGGATCCCCAATTTTGACAAAATTCTAACACCGTATTGATATCAGAAGATATGCTTTTTCTACAGAGGCATAACAACCAACCCATCGCTACGCACCGCTACAGTCCCTAACAACACACTGACGATGTCACCTCGATTGGTGATGAAACGTTTGCGATCAAATTGCCCACCGGAGATGCCTTTGTTAGTTGATTAATTTGATGATGTCTCGACTTCCGTCTCGAGGAAGATAAAGGCATTAAACGGCATTGCTTTTGAATAACCCCATTACCCCTTTTCGTGCATGTCAGGGTTATATATACTCCTCTTTTGAAGTGAGTTACCTGGTCAAGTCTACCATAATTACTGTTGATAAGGTGTTCTTATGGCACCTAAAGTGAATTCTGGGGAAGAAGGACTGGCTTTTTGGAGTGGATGGGTTTGTTGAAGTGAACTTCTGTCAATGATTATCATTCTCGAGAGTAGATGTTGAGACCATCCAGGAGAACAAAAGGTCTTGTTTGTTTGTTTTTTCTTGGATTAAAGTAGGTTTTCGACAACAGTTTGTGTGCACGTGCTGATTTGGACTATCTTATTTTCCACCTCGGAAACCCGTCCTCCGCCAGACTTGCTAAAATTTACCCCGATAAATGGCAAAAAAGACAAGTTGGCGCAGCTCAAATACTATGAAGTCTGCAATCAAGACTGTTTATCTTGGGGAGAGGCTGCTTTCGCTGAGTAATCATACAAAAAACGCTTCCTTTTTCTAAGTAGGTTCTCCCGGATTTCTGTCCATAACGCTTTCCGATCTACTTAATTTAGTTAGAGTGCCTTTGCTGAAAAATTGGAAAGAAGGCTACACTCAAATTTACAACTATCTTTTTTAAAATACTCCGGCA